GATAAGCTCACCGGAGAAAAGCTCACCGCAAAACCGGCAGATGCGGAGAAAAGCTCACCGGCCTTTGAGCAAATGCGAAAAAAAGCTCGCCAATTTTTTTTTTTTTTTTTTAACTTAGCGGATTTTGCGTGAAACGTGGCGCATTCATCACTTCATTAAAACTATATCCTCTTTTTTGTAATATTCTTGAAGTTCATTGGAAATATTTACTACATCCTCAGAAATTAGTAATCACCCATTCTGTATATTAATGGAGCCGCAAGTATGAAATCAGAACATCGTACTCCGGTAAAAAAATAGGCAACAATTTATTGATAGCTAACAGTGCGCCGTCGGTAGCGCTGTCAGATAAAGAGGTTTGTTTTTTGCGGGCTAATATGAATAGCGAAGTGCTGACCAGTTTCAGCTCCAAATATTTCGTTGTGCCTAATATATCAGTAGGTATTTGTTGATGTAGTCAGTGTCGCCTACACTGTTTTCTTTTTGTTAATTTCACTAACAAAGCGAGAACAGCTTCGTCATGTCCCGTTTGTTGTCTTCACTCCCTCGTCGTCGTTTGAGCCGTTTTCATCACGTATAACGTTTACCAACTCGCTCTATTCGCTACCTTACAGAAGACTAGTTCCTATATAGGTCACGAGGAACAAAGGTGTCAGTGTGAAGCTCTGGAGGTCATGAGTGGCGCACCGTAGTAGGCACTATCACAAAAAGGCAACATGAGGAAACACCAGCACGAACGGCTGGAAAAAGTGCATGCCCTTGAAGAAAGAAGCCTCGATATCCTACTGATTGTTTTATCCTGTTTTCAAAGGTTAACAAAAGCTTCAAAAAGATTTTCAGGCACCGCGTTGTTGCGCATGCACTTCCGGATTTTCGGCATTTACAGTTTTGTTTTTTAGGTTTTAGGAAGACATTATTAAGTTTTCGAACTTTTTCCTGTTTTGGAAGTTCATAAAGTTTACAGTTGGGCTTTCGTTGGCCTACTCTTTGTGGCTTACTCTCTACAGAGAGTAAGCCACAGAAAACACTCGCCCGCAGTTATTAATTTGGGGGCCATATACCCAATCACCTGAACAAATAATACAAAAAACTACATTGTCTTTTTTACAAAGCTGACGAATTTTGATGATAATAACTTGATACATGTTACGCATGATTCAACAGCCTTTATGTAAAAAGAAGAAAAATATCGGTGAGCTTTTCTCCGCATCCGCCGGTTTTGCGGTGAGCTTTTCTCCGGTGAGCTTATCTCCGGTGAGCTTTTCTCCGGTGAGCTTTTCTCCGGGATTCAAGCGAAGAACCATCCCACTAAGCAGCTAATTAAAAAAAAAAAAAAAAAAAAAAAGGCCGAGCTTGTGGATGTTTTTAATGTTGGCTCGCCCTGTTCCCGTGCGCTAGCAACCAGCGAAGTCAAAGCTAGCGCGAGCCCAATGCTCTGTGCATTCCTGACTCGCACGTGGGCTTGTGCAGTTTGGGCACCGTTTCGGGCTCCATGCGCGCGCTTGTAGCTTCGGCTGCGCTCGCACCGAAGCTGAAACGAAGTATAGTTGAGTTGCACCAAACTCTGGATGTAGTGCTGGTAAAGCCTCACAGTCCTTTTCGGAGCACAGAGCACTGCGCGACTGCGGTGTCTGCTCCGAGGGTGTCGCTTCTCTGCAGCGCGTCGGTGCATGCCAAGGGGCGCACTCAAAAAGTTAACTCGCCATGATCCGATCGTGACTTCGCCAGCACATCGAAAATGAATCGGAATTTTCGAAGCGAATATCAGATACCGCAATATTTGAAGCTGCTGCCCGAAAGTCAACTCTAATCTGAACTAAGACATTCCACAAGAGTGAGGGTCGTTAGATGCTGCTGCAGATACCTTAAGAGAAGTGCAGGCTGATAAAATTAAATAGCCTGTACCATCAGAACTCAGGGTGACATATTTAATTGTATTTTTTTTTTCTGACGAGCAGATAAACTTTATTTTAAAAAATGTTTCTTTTGTGTGTGTTTACTTTGTTGAATTTCATATATCCCGAGTTAAAAAGGTGACAGGCGCTATGTTTCAATAATAGAGATGGGCTTTATATAGCAATGCAGCATTATTTCATTTTCAAGGAATATACCAACATCTGCCGGACCCTGCTCCAAAAGGGCCACTACCTGCTCCAAAACAACATTTTGTCTGCTACAAGGCCTGCTCCAAAAGGTCAAATGGCACTTCCATCATTGTATAAACCTTAGAGAATCGAATCGAGTGCCTGAAAGCCGGGGGATGAGGAGGAGGGAGGAAGGGGCGAAAGGCTAAGACAACCTCCAAACCACTTCCCTCTCCCTGCCTCGTGTTACTGTCCATTCTGCATCGTCGCTGATCACCCATCTATCCTCTTGTTGTCGTCGTGACCTCTGGCACGTTGGGCAAACCAGAAACGACCACAGGCCATGTGGTTGCATTGTAATCATTCGACATGAGATGTCACCACTGGTTGATGCGAATCCATATAAATGCCGTGGTTAAAATGGATTCGATGAGCTAACTCAATTCGATGCGATACAGTCGCATCCATGTAAGCTCGGCCACAATTGCTGTGGCATCCCTACAGAGGTCCTATGTCTCACGGACATCAATGGGATGTCACAAATATCGGGTACATATCCAGAGGACAAACGTAGCAGAGGCTTTTCTTGGTTTCACCACCAATAGCATCTAGTACCGTGGCATAGCCTCTTGCGAGAGGTCCTCAACCTCTCACTACCACGACCAGTAGCCAGCCTGATAACTCTAGTAAGCTTAGGTACTAATGGTGCAGACGCACAATCTCGCATGACCAACGACTGCTGTAGTATATTAAATAGCGTTGCCCCCAACTGCTCGACAAAGGGTACCCAAAGAGACGTCAGAATGGCAGACTAAGGATAAAGATGTCAGCCAAACATTTGCAGTTTTATTTCGATCTACTGTCGAGACTGGTATAACGAAGTCGGCTATAACGAAATAGCAGCTACAGCGAAGCAATTGCGGTTTCCCCTTCCTTTTTGCACTCCCTTATAAGTTATAACCGAAGTCGGTTATAATGAAATACCAAATATAACGAAGTGATTTCCGATTCCCATTGACTTCGTTATAACCGGCCTCGAAAGTATCGACCAAACCGTCACGTGCAGAATTGCCTTTTATGAGGAATGCAGCGAATGCTAGCTCGTCTCAGCGTTCTAGGTACATACCGCTTTTTTTTTTTCTCTTGCTGTTTTTGAAGTTGGGTAGTCTTCTCAAAGTGTCTCGGAGTCCTTTCTACTTCGTTTTTTTCACTGCTGCATTCTGCCACCAGCGAAGCTCGCTTGTGACAGGTGTTTAGGATCCAACAAACCCTGTTCGACTACCTTCGACCTTGCACGCTTCACTCACTTGTTTTGAGGCTAAATCAGAGTTAATTTTAGTAAGAATGAAATTCTGAATTTAAAACTCCCGCGTTTAGAGGTCTTTCTTGGTATACTCCCTCAAACGTCCCTTTCCAGCCTCTGCAACCATTCTCTACTTCTTTTGGATTAACTGCTGGGTGTAGGATGTGGCTAAGCTTGCACCAACAATGTTCAAAACTTGGCCGGGAGCTACCTGTGAGCATGTGTTTGGATTGAGTGGTAAAGCTATGCCACCCTTACATGGTCATTTGAAGCATGAACACTTGACCTAGAAGTACCTGGATAAGATTGAGAACCAGAGAAATAGAACTGCACGTATCAGTATATGAATTGCTCAGAGTTTAAGAACTAAACCTAATATTGTTATAGAGATAATGCTTATGCTGCTCTATCAGTTTCCATGGACACAACCTAAGAATGTTTTGTGCAAAGGACATGTTGAGATATAGATCTTCAATATTCCATTGTAAAATGCATAGAATGTATTTAGAAATAAATAGAAGGAATAAACACACCTCTCATTGTTAACCACGCATATAAACAAACCTATTGAGGCAATTGAACCAAGTAATTTTGTACTTTAGAGGCTACTGCCAATTATTAAGAGGCAACGTAGTATTCATAGTATTCATACTATGAGAAAATAATTTCCCCCATATGATGAAAATGACACAGTACAGTCAATGAACTAGCAAAGTAGTGCCACTGGAGCTACTTCAATGCCTCTATGGCCACATGCCAGCTTTTGGACCGCTAACTAAAGGCATCATGTACCCGAAATCTCTGATAAATATATTAAAGGGCCTCAGCCCTCAGGTGGGCTTCAATAATCTTCAGTCCTCTTGCCAGCTGGCAGACTAAATGTTCTCTGTAAGTTTGGGACACAATGGCCAAGGCTTCCAGCACAAAAAGTATGCTATTGTATTTCTTGAGACCACCCCCCGAAAAAAAAAAAAAAAAAAAAAAAGACCCCATTTGCAATCAGAAAAGCAAACCAGAGCAAACTACGGTATGGTGCCTGGAGCGCATCTCTGACTGGTGCGTTTACCGCGTCCTAAAAGGTGGGGCCCCGGTTTCCACCTGTCGACGTCGTAGGTTGCGCTTCAGCTGGTCGGTCCACGGAAGCTTCCGAAGCCAGGAGTTAAGACACTGCGACGACAGCAACATTCCCGTTTGCTTGCGCTCTTTGCGCCGCAACTTCTACGCCCAACCACCAGGGTCGCGACGTCCGACAACACGATGCTCCGGCTTCTGCGACGTCATTTCACACCATTTCGGAGTCGCTTTCGATGCGCAGGCACGCTGTAAATACAACATTCGGAGAAACGTTCCGCAGGCACCGTAGCCGCAGAGGGGCCACCTCTGCCGTTTCCGGCCTTCCTTGCACGCGGGCCATTTGACACAAAGTTTTCTCACAATGGGGCCAGCCTAACGGTTAACTGAACGTGTGACCCAGTTCAAACCACAGACCAAGAGAGAGGCGACAGATCAAACCACACCCCGCAGGACTGTACTGCAAGGGAACCCAACAATGCCCCCCCCCTCCCCTCCCCTCCCCTCCCCCCTCCCAACAACCCACCAAATTGAAAGACACATTTCTCTGTGAATGACACCTCTTATTTTTTTTTGTCCATTTTTTGCTGTTTTTTCTTCGTTCTCATTGAGTGCAAAGTTTACACAGAGATGAGTAAAGCAGTGGGCAAACAAACACAACAAACAAAACCGAGTCTAACGGAAGGTCATCTCCCGCCGTACGCCTTCCGACCTGCGCTCACCTCTCCGCAGTTATACACATTTTATGGGTCCTTCCTCGTAAAACAAACGAACAAACAGATGGAACGGAACCGTGTGACAACAGTGACGAGCACGAGACATCAACAGTGAAAGAAATCGAGAGAGAGAGAGAAAGAGAGCACATGCAGGTCAACCTGAACGTGCAACAACGGCAATTCTCTTTTCCTGCATTCCCGTTTGTCTCGCCCCTCTTTCTCCGTCCACGAAACAGCGTGATGAAAAGTAAACAATGTACATAAGTGCTCGGTGCACTTCTGAGGAAATTCTGCCACACGAAAGAAGAAGGAGCGGGCGACCATGTGGAACCCGCGTCGAAACTACGGGCGCAGCCCGGAGAGTGCTTCGGGCAGGAAACGGAGTCCGTTCCAGCCCTGGTGCGTTTTTCGTTGTCTTTACGTCGTCCCCGTCAGAACTGCTCGCCTGGGCAACTGGGAGAAAATGGGTCGTTGGATTCACCTCGCAACAATTCGAATACAAATGGGCAAGAGCGCTCTGAAAGTGCACACAAGTTTTGCCTAGCCAGTCACAATCAATGACTTGAGGCCCATGCAGAGCGCAAGTTCGTCTGTTTCTTTTGCAGGGGTTGTGGTGACGTCAAAACGCCGAGCTCTGATTGGCTCTGATTGAAGGATAGTTGGGTAGACCTCGAAGCAAGCTGCCTTGAGGTCGGGCCCGCTATCCTTCAATCAGAGCCAATAAGAGCTCGACGTTTTCACGTTCTACAACCCCTGCAAAAGAAGCAGACAAACTTGCGCTCAGCTTTGCACTCCGTATAGGTTTCACATACTATGTGACGTAACAAAGCGTTCTTTCAATACCGCTTGTTTTAAGCATGCTAGTCGGTTTAATCTTTAATCGTCTACAGTCACTGAGAACGGTAGCGAGAAGCTTCCGACCTTAGAGGATGCTTCAGCGTCACCTGCGCCTCCAGCCAAGGCCCAGCAGAAAGCATAAAAGCACAATTTGGAGCCTGGGCATTCGAAAGACTCTTGCTGCCATTCTCACTTTGCAAAAGACGATAACCAGTTAACCCTTAGTCTTCTAGCTCACTTATTGTTCCCTCAACGCCTGAAGTCAGTGGGAACGGTTTACGAGAAAAGTAAACTTAGCCACAGTATTTGTTTGGTAATGAAATGGAAACTGTATGCTTTAAATGGACAGATTTTCTTTTGTAAAGCTATAACAGGCACGACTGACTAAAACCTGACGACGTTTTCGCTTCTAAAATAGTTCTTTGTGGTATTGCTGAAGTGGGAACAAGCCAATGTGACTAATGGTTGGCTGCACTTTCATTCCAAAAGCTAAGATCAGTGGGATGGTGCACCATCCATGGTAACATCGTAGGTATGTCAAAAACTTGTGACAAAGCGTGATGCACTGTGCGGGTGGACACCACGGGTCATGCTTTCGGACTGTTACATCAGTCCCGAGTCTTCAAAGCGGTGTGTTTTACGAAAGGTATATTCTATCATTGACCTGCAGCAAAGCCCTCTCACCAGGAGAGACATCAGGGCCATGATGTTTAAAGCTCCAAACTCAGCTCAATCCTCCAGGGCATACGTGATAGAAACAGAAGCCCAGCATTAAAACCATGAACAAACTTTGCTGGCTCAAATGGCTTTGCGAACTTACTACATTATAATGGCCTCAGTAAAACTGAAAGCCAAATGCACCTGTCGTTGCAAACACTTAGCTATCAGCTCAAATGTCTTTGCAAGAACCAAGCGCCCTTCGTCGGAGTTCCAAAGTTTAACAGATTTACAATGTATCCAGTTCACTCACTATAGACAGCAAAAAAATACAAACTTTTGTTCACCCTTTAAGTTCTTCTGAGAAGAGTCTAATTAGAAACCGGCAATGCTTCGCACAAACGTTCCGGCTTTGCCGCATCAACTGAAGTTAAGAAAGCCCAGTCTGCACGTGACGTGCGAGTTGGGAGTGCGAAGGTAACATGAACGATTTCTCAACGGAACGTGAGCTCGGGTAGAAATTCGAGACGGTTCTCCAACCAAAGGATCCAACAGCAGAGTGCAGTGTGCATACATCGTGCTGATCCAATCAAATGCCTGTGCTTGACTTATCGTGGGAACGCTACGAGGTAACTGGAAGCTTTAAAATCTCCTTGGCACGCAGCGAGAACTGCCCGTCGAGTCAAATTCAAAGGGCAAGACAAAACATGAAAAACATTTGGCTGGGTTGTAATACCGAGGAGGTATTATGAACTGCTGCATCATCCGTGATGGCAAGACCACCGAATCCTCGACAGGGTGAGCCACAGTGCGCTCGATCCGAGCAGTACCTACGCCTGCGACAGCAAATACATTCTGGGACACAAAATGGTACGGCACAAACAGCGGCAGTTGCACACAACTTGGCGGCATTATGTTGATGCATTTGCTGGAAGCGTCGGTGACGGCTCAGTATGCAAGAGCTGGCGGCCCGCCGGGGCCAGATGGTTCTCTAAGACCCCCACAATCCAACTGCCGACAACTTTCTCCGGGGCCACGTGCACCCCGAAGAAACCCCACAACCAAATCGAGTTACGGCACTGACAGAAAAACAATTTTGTGCAAAGTCCACATTCGCAAGGTGCGGCCAGCAACCGGACTCAGGTCCCCTCGCTGGCCACGCGTTCGGCAACCTTCTCCAAGCTTCGAGTCTTTGGCACTTGCGGAAGTCCCACACTGGCGAGCGTCGTTCCTCGCTCGAGCGGGTCGGAAGTCACGCTGCAGGAAGAAATTGTTCCGCCCCCGCCGTCTCGGCGCGAAGGCGACAGTTCTCTCTCTTGGGAGCCAGCCGCAGACAACACGCTTCCTCCGGGAACGAGGATGCCAGACACCCTAAAACCACGAAGGACCTCAGATAGTCTCGAACTGCAGGGAGTCCCCGTCCCTTTACCACCGGAGCCACGGACGTCCCAGATGGCAGGCGGCCTCCAACCACGAACCGTCTCGACCGTGGACGGTCCAAAGCCGCAGACTGTTGCGAACCGTCTGCAGCCCCGTATCAAAGCCTCGAAGACAGTAACGGTCCCGGACCATCGTCGGTCCAAACCGTGACCGGTCCTTGAGCGGAACTGGGCCCGGACCGTCGATTATCCCTCGATGGGGGACAGCTCGAGTCGCACGGTCCCAGATGTCGGACAGTCCCAGAGGGCGGACTGTCCTGGCTCCGCCCCAGACCTTCCCGGTCGCACCGTCGTCCGAGCTTCACCAGCGCCAGTATACCACTGCAGGCGAGTAGGTCTCCGCGCGCGGTCTCTCCTCACTAGGCCTAACCTCCGCGCGCTCTCTTCGACGCCGCACAGACGGCCCGAGCCCCAACGTGGACCGAGGTCCTCCTCCACGATCTCGGAGCCGGAGCGTGAACCGTCGCGCGTCATCACACTTGCCACAGCAGGAGGTGGTTGGTGCTGTCGTCTCGGCCGGCGGCCTCCGTGAGTCCGGCGTTGCGGAAGTCCTCGTAACCGTCACCGCCACTGATGACCAGCAGGCGGCAGCCCGCGGCTGGCGTCAGGGACGCCCGCCGGCCAGCGAGCGACGCTCCCGTCGCTGCTCCGCCGTCGCCCCGCGAGCACCGCAGCGACCGGTGGTGGTGGTGCCTCCCCGGGGGCTCCGTCGTCTCCACCGCCGTCAGAAACCGTACGTGGCCCGTGTGGCCATGCGGCACGCCTGTTCCCAAAATAACCGGGACTTCAGACAAGGAACTGCTGAAGGGATCTCGCGTAAAGAAGCGAGAGGGAAGGTAAGCAACCATAAATTGCAACAACATTCTGGGTACCTTGAAATAGAGTCGATAGGAAGAAAGCGCCAATTGTGGAGCACAGAGAAGGAAAGGGCGCAAGTGTCTCTGTCGTATGCGGACCGCAAGTTCGTCTGCTTCTTTTGCAGGGGAATTGTGGTGACGTCAGAAAGATGCCGAGCTGTAATTGGTTCTTAATGAAAGATAGTGGGTAGACCTCAAAGCAACTTGCTTCGAGGTCTACCCACTATTCTTCAATCAGAGCCAATCAGAGCTCAGCGTCTCTTACGTCACCGCAACTCTTGCGCAAGAAACAGACGACTTTCTCTCCGCATATACATTGTTAATGCCACAACAATTTACATTAAGTTATCAACTCGTTATAACAAACCTTGATAGTGATGAAGATATTGGTATGTTGTCAAATGAGCATGGCAGAAAGCAGATACTCTTACTATAAACATTGGCGTGGATCACAAGTGGAGTCCGTTCTAACCAGTGAGACTGACGGAATGGGAATGGATATTAGAAAAGACCTGGTTTATTGAAACTTAAAAACTTCAAAAAGTAGAGATTTTTCATTAAGATGTACCAACGATCGTCATCACTGTGCCCTTAGGGTAATGTGAAGCTCACGACGCACCGAGTGCGGTGACAGCAGATTGCAAAATGGACTAGCACCGAACCAAACACGCACACTGGTCAAAATTTGACATGCTGGCATAGAGTCCGCTATAATAGAACGATGAACTACTTGCGAAACTCCCTAATATAGTTCTTAATATCCTAATGTATGTTAGAACAGAATCTGTAATACGTGAGTTGGCTCAGTGACATAGATAGGAAGACCAAACAAGCTTCACAAATCGGTGTGTTATAGCAGGAGGCCTAGCCGTAACCAGATCTGTTGTAACGAGGTTATACTCCACTATGAACGGCTTCAAAGGATTTCGTCGTGAAACCCCGAATAAACTCTACCGTGGGTTTCCAAGCTACTGGGTTCCAGGAACGAGGGGCCTCTCAAAGTACCCTCGTGGGTTTCCTGAGCTCCGGAATTTCCTCCACTACCCCTGCCTCTACGTGATGCGTCTTCCCAGTCATAACTTTAGCGAGTCTGAGCCATCCCTTGATGCGTAACTTTGAGCCACCAAACATTATTATTGTTGATAATGCCCGTAGGCTCCGCTTCTACTCTGCTTTACTGCATCGACGCCAAGACTGGGTTCCCCTGCCTCGATTCCAAAGGCAGCTGAGAAACCCGGCCTTTGCATCCCTGCAGTGAAAACGTCGAGAAGCCTACGGATCTGACAAACGATAATGTGTGTATTGGAGAAGTGGGAGAGTGAAGAGCTTGATAACCCCCGAACTATATACTATGTCCCCTTCCAACAACAACTGATACCATCTGTGTGCCACTGATCAGGCAAGTCATTTCCTGTCTTGGGCTCTTTTTGAGTTTTACATTATAGACCACTCACAACGTAATCGCTTATAGTGCAGGACCGGGTATAACGCGGCTTTTTTAAACCACCGGTTCGCCTCCCATAGAACTCCATGTAATTACATACCGCTTAAAATGCAGGCGCGCGAAGGGAAATACCGGTTATAGTGCGGTTTTCGGAACAGCCCGGCGACCGTGCCGACTGACCGACGCAGAGAGCACGCTTCCCTGTGCGACACTAGATAACGGCACGAGCCACAAGCGGCACTCGCGGGGCAAGGAGGTTGCTCGAAGAAGGGGGGAGAAGCGAAGAGAGAGGCTTCAGTTGCCATAGCGACGGAGGGACGCACACACATGTCGTTCACGTGCGTGCGTCCCTCCGCTGCGTTGGAAACGTTGGAAACAACTGCAACGACAGACCAATCGCAGGTCGAGGAGAAGTGTTTGCGCGCGTTGCATGCTGGTCGCGGGCCGGCCAGCCAGCTGCTTCTATCTGCAACATGGCGTCCGTTTTGATCGTCGACGTAGACGGCGTGGTAGAAGCTCATCGTTCCGCGTAAAAGCGCTATCCTTGACTGTGAATTTTCGTTGTGTGTCGCTATGATAACCCAGCACGTACTAGAACCACCTACTCGTGCGGCGATGTTGTGGCGGCACTCTCAAGACGGCAGAAACGCCCGTGTCGTCGTGTTTGTTTACTTCGATTACAGTGGTGCTTTCTAAGCATTTGTGTTTTGGAACATCGCCCGGATTTCTTAATTGGAGCATTTCATGCCTGTGCTTAAGTTGAAGGTATTACTGGCGCGTACCGTATAAAGGATGCGAATTTTCACGCGTTTTCATCGCCGGAGAAAAGTGATTAGGGTTAACAATCCTGAATGCTCGTAACGTCCGTCCGCAACCCGCGACGCCGTTAAAAGGCTGCGCCAGGCAAAAGTCGCTCATTTCTTTCAAAATGTGTGACACACTTGAGAGAAGTGTACTAGTCTGGTGAAATAAAGACTTTCCTCAAACTAAACTTTATTTTTAATCTTACATAAAATAAATTCTTTTACAAAGGTAAGTTGTCTCATGGCATGTATTTTGGCCTGAAAAATTGATGTTTTGGTTATAGCGCGGTACCGCTTATAGAGCGGATTTTCGCAACTCCCGCGACATACGTTATATGCGGTCTACACTGTATTACTCTTTATTTTCTGTCCATCGACGAATTCGGACTGAAAGAAGAGGTGAAAGACTGATTGCACGCACGTACCAGCAATGTTGGGCGGACAGCCCAGGCGGCTTGTGTTGGAGGTGAGATGTGGCAAGGGGAGGGTGAGCAGCACCCCCGCGCTGGTGCCCACCCAGAGCAGGTCTTTACAGGCCAGCAAGGCAGTCACTCGCAGACAGGCTGCCTTATGCTGTCGAATGATGTCGTCGCACGCTGCGTCCGAAACCCGTCGAGCGATGAGACACTGACAACATACATTAATGTAAGCAATATATTTGCCTACTGGCGTAACAAGACAGAAGTGTTGTCACGCAGCACAGCAAGGATAACCTAGCAGCCGGTAGGTGCTTTAAGAGAGATTTTGGATTAAGGTGTGATTAGGAAAAAGATCAAAAAATTTAAAAATTCGGCAGAAACACTTAAGATTGTTTATGTAGAGGAATGCAAAAGCATTCCTACGTGCAGCACATTCCTACAAGCACCGTGCCATGTCTTCCTTTTTCACATGGCGCTTTAGCAGTGACATCACGCTCCCCCACAGCGCAGGCACGGCGCACCCGTCGGCTGCACGGCTTCTGCGACAATGCATCTGCGTTGCTGTGATTTTCTTTGTGTTTTATTTTTTTAGGCGTGTCCGCTTTGACCTTGAGCGCCCCGTCGGCTTCCGTGACACGAAGCATCTGATATGACGCGTCGCCGCCAATGGGAATTTAGGTGCCGTTTTCGCTAGACAGACAACGCCGGCTTCGCTTCACAGGTCAGTTAATGCTTTTGCATTAATAAATAAATTTATCCCTGTCTGCTCCAGTGTTAGCACAGCAGACTCGAAGTCAATTTAAAATAAATGAATGATGTAAGTGTATACCATTTAAAAAAACTCAAATACAGTAGGCTCGCGATAATTCAAACTCGGATATTTCGTACTTCCGGTTAATTCAAACAGATTTGAAAATTTCGGTTGTCCCGCTCTGTTTTTAATATATTTATAAACCGCTTAATTCGAATGACGCTTTCGCTCAATTCATACTTTTTTGCTCTTACGGCCCCGTTGAGTGCGCTTCTTCCCAAGCACCGGTGCACTGCGGATAAGCGGTACCCGCGGAGCTTGGTTTCGCGAGTGTTGCTTTCCCGCAGTGCACCGGTGCTTGGAAAGAAGCGCCCTCAACGGGGCTCAAGCGGGCACACATTAGCGGCAAACTGCGTTCACATTATGTGCTTCAAGACTAGCAATGATGACCAAGACGACACCGAGGATGAGGAACAGCTCACTGGCATCATGCTTTCTGGCCTTGAAGCACATAATGTGAACGCCGAGCTGGTGGAATATGCTAGTCTTGACGACGACCTGTGTGTTTGTCGTGATGACTCATTAGAGGACATAGTACAGGAAGTTAAGCCAGCACAGTGCAGCAGTGAGAGTGAAGATGACGATGAAGAAAGGGATGACCCACTACAAACTGTCACATCCGCAGAGGCCTTTGAGCATATCGCTCAGCTCCGGAAGTTTCTGTCTGCAAAGAAAGAGTCCCGTAAAGAGCTACTTACATTGGCTGGTATTTTCGCCAGAACTGGAGATTGAAGCTAACGAAAACACGCTGGAATTCCATTTCCCATGTATTTTGTCAATAAAGGCAACGTGTGCGTTATTTTGTTTACATGCCGCTACTAGAAGCTCGTTACATGGCACGTAAACAGCGTCTCGGTAAGGATCATGGCCCAGGCCCGGGGGGGGGGGGGGGGGGGGGGGCTCTGCCCCCCCCCCCCCTTGGATTTCACCAGGGGGGGCACAAGCCCCGTTGCCCCCCCCATAGTCTACGCCTATGCCGTCGGATATACTTTCTAAACGGACATTACTGTTCGGCGCATACAAGAAGCGCGAGTGGAAATTCCACAGGCACATACAGCTCAAGAAATGCCGAGAGTGTCATCTTGTCCACGCTGCATGATCTGGTCGTCGGCATTCTCGTCTGCCAACGTCGCAATCTCATTGGCTACGAAGCGACGGCGAAATGCTCGGGACTCGGCACGTTCTGCAGTTACTAATGCACTATGTATGAGAAACAGTCGCTTACAACATTGTCTGAATTATTTCGCACCCAAAACGAAGAATGATGTGCGACAAATTATAAGATACAGTCAAACCCACTTATAACAAACGCGACAGATCCATGAAAAGTGGTCGTTATATCAGTGGTTCGTTATATCTGGACTTACCTTTAAAACACGTTATAAGTAAGGATAATGCAGCTGGTATCGGTAGTTTACTGTGCCAGCTCTTTATTTGAAGAAACTAGAGATCGCAGCCTGCTTCCGCACCGTAGTGCGCTCGAGTGTCTTCCTGAGGCTGTCCAGGTGGCACGCGTATTCCTCCGGAAGTTCTCTTGTGAAAACGAGGTCCTTGAGGGCCGTGATGTACTCCAGGGCTGTAGCAGTACCGATGGGTGGCGGCAGAGGAGCGTCCTCGTCGGCTTCGTCATCGTCCGACGATAACGGGGCCTCCTCACGACCGGCTCCGGCACGCACTTTGCGGACGATTGCAGCGTCGTGAAGCTCTTCAGTTGCCCATACATCCCTTGTCGGCAACAATGAAGTCCTCGAGGTTGTCTGCCTTGTCGACCAGTCTAGCCTCAAGCACTTCCTTCCAGGCTTGCCCGACCTCTTCTCGGTCGTCGGGAGTGGCAGCCTCTTCTCTCTCGACTCCTGCCGGCTATACCGATGGACGCATGAACCCGACCTTCCTGAAGCAATTGCTCAAAGTCTCGCTCCTTATCTCCATACAGGCTCCCTTCAGCATCTGTACAGCCATCCACAAGTTAATTTGTAGCTTGGGGTTCTCAGGAAGCGGGCAACGAATCATGATCAATAGCCGCTGGATCCCGCGGCGTGGGTAGATTACGTTGAAGTTTTGAATGATACCCATGTCAAGGGGCTGCAACCTTGCAGTGGCATTCGGTGGCAAGAAAAGAATCTCAATGGCTTGCAGCTTCGGGTACAGGTGGTGTGCAGAGCAGTTCTCTAGAATGAGAGGGATTTTCCTTTTCTTTGCTGCCATATCATCGTCAAATTCGTTGAGCCACTCGCCGAAGATTTCCAGCATCATCCAGGCTTTCTTGTTGTGTCTGTAGCGAACGGGAACGAACTGGCGGAAGCAGGTCGGCTTCGTTGATTTTCCGATGATGAAAGGAAGCCGCCGGTCGCTGCCGTCCATGTTGCAGCAAAGTAGCACTGTCCCGCACACTCTGCTGTTCTTCCCGCCAACACACTTGTCCCCTTTCAATGCGTGGGTCCTGTTGGGTAGCATCTGGTAGAATAAACCCATCTGATCGGCATTATAAATGCCCCGGTTGCTGTACTGAAAGACCTCATCCAGTTGGTCAGTCAGCCACTTGTCTGCCATGTCCTAGTTGACCGCTGCACCTTCCCCAACGATCACCCTGTAGACGACGCCATGGTGCTCCTTAAAGTGTTGCACCCATCCACCCCCAGGACTGAACTCCAGGCAATCCAAAAAAATGCGAAGTCGTTCGCTTTCTCTATGAGCAGGGGTCCACTGATGGGGATATTTCTGCCTCGTGCATCCAGGAACCATTTGAAGAATGCGTCCTTTATCTCCTTGTATTTCGCCTCACGTAGGCGCTTGCGCTTGTGCTCGTCTCCATTGAGGTCGGCCGAAGCCAAAATCTTTCCTTCCTCCTTGACGATCGTTGACACTGTCGACTTCAAAAGTCAATATCTTCTGGCGACGTCGGCGTTCTTGACTCCGGAACGGATGTCGCAAAGTATGCTCACTTTTGTGCCAATCTCAGTCGCTTTCTGTTTCTTGGGCACGCAGCCTCCGCTTTCAGACATCATGCCGACTGAGACGTACTGAACACAAAAAAAAACTGCCGCTGTGGCTGTTTTCAGTTGCCACCTTTGTTGAACGACGATGCGCTCACAAGTCTCTTCCGATGGAAACTTGAGAGTTAACTCTTCGTAAACAAAAATGGTAATATGACGTCACTCCTTTGCATAACCGTGAGCAAAGAGTGGGACATAAGGGCCACTCAGAGGCGTCGGAGTTAGCTATATGACATCATTGAATACGGAGTTTGCAAACATACAACGAACGAAAGCAGCACGGCAAGAGTTGACTGCCTTCTTCTCCTCCTCTTCCCCTTCCCACGCATGCACAATCGACCAATCGGCGGAGTGCGCGACCCCGGGAGCGCGTTTTTGCTTTAGTAGTTTTCTTTCCTCCCCGGGGGTGTATGCCATGCGGCCAGTTAAGCCAGCGCGGCCGTGGAAACGACCTTGAGCGTCTCCCGGAGCACCGTGCCCAAAATGTAGCCCTTAATTTTTTTTTTTTTTTCTTTCTTTTTTGCGCGCAAGAGTTTTTTTTCTTTTTTTTTTCTTTTTCAAAAGCAGATTTTGAGTGTTTGTTGCAACACCATGATGCTTTGAAAAACGGTTGTTTTATCTGGACCAATTTTAATGGGTAGCGCCTGGAACTCGTATATTTTCTGCAAGCTGGTTGTTATAACCGATATGTCGTTATATGTGGGATCGTTATAAGTGGGTTTGACTATATATGCGCAGATCTCGATGTGTTCCCGGGCTACCGACGGACGGCGCTCATGTGCCGGCGTTACATCTCCCATCGTAAGCAGTTACGAGGGAACGCAAAGTGCACGAGCACAATCAAACGCAAATGTGCGAACCAGCCTTTAAGCTGCGACTACGAGTTGACGCGCCATATGCAAACGAATCAGCACTTTCCTGCATCGAGCACGTGCACAGAAACCGGATTCGTGCGGGGTGAAGGTACTGCGCATGTGCCAAAGGCAACGACGGCGGCGGCGCCGCAAGATCGGAGTCATGTGTTGACGTGGTTGAGTTCCGGAAATAGGTCGACGACGGTCACGACCGCTCACCAGAAAGCATTTTGGTGACGGCCGGGGCTATGTTGACATCCTGCAGGCACTCGTAGGTCGTGGCGTGGAAGAGCCGAATGACAGCACTGTGCTGGATGGCCAGCCAGACACCAAGCCCGGAAGTGACCATGCACAGCACCGCGCGGGAAGCATCGCTGCTCACTTGGAACGAGTGCTGCGGGCAAGAAGGGCAGCATGTGCACACGGAACCTTCGTCGCACGACCAACCGTGACGCGCAGAGCACCGGGCGCCGGCACACAGAATCGAGTGCCTTTATAACGAGCCATATGGGAATGACATAAATGGTTTCACTGCACGGATGGCTCCATTCTATGCGAGTAGCACAAAAAATCAGACACACACACTTTAAATGAAAACTAGTATTGCATAGTGGTGCATCTGCGTGACACGCGATGAAATAGCGCTCGAACAAACTTCAAAGGACGTCGAGAAAAAGTTTGCTGAAGTGAAGTTCACTCCCCTGACTGAAAACATTATATGCGTTGATGTGCCGCCGGGGATTTTAAAAAAAGTTTGTTTGTCCGAATAGTTTGTTCAGCTGGAGTTTGCTTGGGTGGTGCTTCCCTATATGAGCTCTTTTAGAAAACGATGGCCGCAAAACTAGCATACCGTAGAAAAGCTAAAAAGAAAATGCGCACCCCGAGTAAAAAAAATAAACAAAGAAAAGTGAGGAGCGTGCAGTCTTTAGCGATGCAATTGCAAAAAGTAGCACAAAGAGGGGCAATCAACGCATGGTGGGGGGGGGGGGGGGGGTAGGTCTAGCACAGAAAAGTAAGCAAAGAATGCTTTTACCACTAAATATTCTGAACCTTTGCATCAGAACAAAACAAGGTGTGGCGCATTAAAGGCAGCCCTTCTTGCAAGGCCACTACGGTACATTCACTTAAACATAGAGCACAGTCTGTTTTCCAAAAAATAGTCACGCAATATGCCTACTATTATGTACTTTGTTTCAAAATTTCAAGGGTGAAAGCTGTAACCCTGGCGAGCCAATCAAGTGCGCGACAATGTACCACCAATGTGTACTACTCCCTCAGTGGAAAGTTGTCGCACGCTTCAATTGATCATTCTAATTGGCTCACGGGAGAATTTGACTTTTGACAAGTTATGCCGAAAAGTGTCTAGCCCATAAGAAGTGCCCTCCCTGCACATTACTGAACTGCAGGAGTGTGAAGTGATGATGAGTAGAAGAAAACAGGAGTATGCACACTTTTAACCAATCAAGAAATTAATTTGCAGCTGTCACGCGGAGGAAGAGATAAAAAGCTATTGATTCGAGGTTGGATGGTAAGTAGTCATCTAGTCGACATGTTGTTCTCAATGTAATGCTGTTTTCTCTCCCAAACATTTTGAATGCAAATAAGTGGAGGCAACAGTGATGCAAACTGCTGAGAACAGGCACACACAAGAAAACGCAAGTTCTGTCATGTGTTCCGGCTACCATCATATTATTGCTTCTCAACGCTATCTTTCCTTACCAATGTTGATTTAATAACATACATAAATGTTCCAAAGATTAATTTATAAACTTTGAACTTTGCATGGCATACTTTAACTGGTAGAAACATGCTCCGCGAATTTCGTGCCAATAAGACGAACAACGAAAACTTTCGTTTTCGTAGTGGTGGTGTCCTCCGTTATGTCACGACGCAGTCCCAAACAGGTTAAGCGTTCACTTGCCTCCACCTCCAGGGATGCCGTGCTCAGAACCTTGATGTAGTTTTGGCAGCCACACCAGAGACGGCCGGCAACTGCCAACATCCGCAGCACGGGAGAGACGCTGCTGCCCACCAGCACCTTCTGGGGTTCGCTCGTGTTCCACCCTCCCCCTTGAAAAACAAAAAAAAAGAAGGGATGAATTAGGAAGCTAGTTTTCAAAAAATATATTCCAGCCTTGGTTGTGTCTGTGACATTTCGGTAGACTCCCTTAAGATAAAGTCAAAGGGACCTTGAAAATTTGTTTGACTTATCAAGTGTTCAGTTGAAAAGATGCTGGGACACCGCAGAAAATCAAACAGACCAAAATGCACACACAAAGTTGTTACTGTTATATTAAGCGAATATTTTTTTCATTGCATTCATGGGAAATCAACCAAACGTTACCACATTTGTTCGGCCCTTCCAGGAATTTAGGTTAAGCGAGTACGGCTTAACGAGTCTACTGTATTATGCCCACGAGATAGAAACTCTTCAAAGTAGTTACAGTTTGGAACAAAATCTTAAGATTTAAAAATGAAAGACGTTTACAAATCTCCGTAATGCGAATTAAACTAGACAGCAGCTCTTGAAAAGGAGGACGGGAGGGTACGGAGGGGAGGGTATGCCCCTCCTCCTTCTCTTCCTTTTCCCTCCTTCTCATCCCCTCCTCTCCTCCGGCCGCTGAATTCGTTCATGAGTGATGTGACACGAAGTCGCGACGTGATTTTTCCCGCTAAATTTAGCGGAGAAACTGAATTGATGAGGTTACATGACGTCAATTTTCCCGCTAAAGTTAGCGGGGAAATTTTTCTGCTAAGGTTAGCTGGGAAATTTTTCTGCTAAATTTAGCGGGAAGCTTTTCATGCTGAACTTAGCAGGGAAACATTCCCGCTAAATTTAGCGGGCAAACGTCCCAAAATGCAATGCGCACGGTTACGTTGATGCCGACTGCGACGCCACTCAACCCGGGAAAGGACGCCTAAGAGCTGCACTCCAATATGATGACAGCAGAGTGGATGTTTACTATGTACACTGCGTAACATTGGTAGCATGAACGCAACATTCTGACTTTTTTTGCACTTTACTTGGAAGTACTGGCAGGCACCAAATTCCATCATATGTTTTAGTGTCCTAAATGAGCCCTTTCTACAAGAATAGAAGTTTTGATGATGGCCTTTTGTTTTCGAGAGAAAAAATGAAAAACGTTTACACCTCCCTGTTATGCCGGTTTAGAGGGCAGCTCTCATTCGGCATTTTATCCGTACTCTCTCCTCCTCCTCCTCCTCTCTCCTCCTCCCTCTTGCGCAGCGCATTATGGAAAACGTCCCATAATGCAGCGCACGCGTGATCGCGGTGCATTATGGGACGTTTCCCATAATGCACCATGCAGTTACGCCGACGGCGCCGCCGCTCAATCTGGAAACGGGTGCCTAAAAGGTGCGCTCCAAAAAAAAACAAAAAAACTATTGATCGCTTATTTACATTATTAGAGTCGAGCAGTGTAGATGTTGTGACACCGTTAGTGCAAACAAGCGATAGCCGGTTTCTTCTGCTCTCTCTGAGAATTGAAAGGCTGTCGCCCCAACTATTACTGTAGTGGAAAATGCACATTTGAGGGTCTATCGTAATCTACTGCAACTTACTGAACAAGTGCCCACCCAAAAGTTGGAGGTAATCACAAAAAAATTAAATAAGGGAACTTATTAGATCTGAGGGCACAGGAGCAGGAGAGACACACTGCAGGGTAGGCCCTGGTTTGATACGATGGTATGGTACAGGAGCAGTATATGAGTCGGGCAGAATCTCATTTTTAAAGGGGTACTCACGCAGTTTTTCTAGCTATCCCAACTAACTATGTTTTTGGAATCACTGCAGTCTTTACCCTTTCCCGTATGCCATTTAGTATCACGAAATTCAGAATAGTTTTTGTGAAATCGGCATGTGGAAATGATGCCAAAACCAAGATTCAAATATACCCACGCTTTCAGTGCCGTGACATTAGGGGAAGGCAGACTTGCAGGTCGAGCGGACAGGCTAAAAATAGACTATGCCAAGCAATTGTTCCATGCTGCTGTGCGGGTGCTAGAGCGAGCTTCCAAAAAATTAATTCGACACCACGAAACTACTTGCAATCAGTTGGGAACAAAGTCTACAGTCCAAAGAGTGAATCCCTGTCTTCACTTCTTCATCGTTGCCAGTAGAGACTTTCACTTGGAAAAACACGGTGAGGACCGAAATTGTAAATTCAATGACTTTGAGAAAAAAAAATTACTTTTGGGCCAATATTTGGGTTACTGTGTTTGTTGGTCTGTTTAGCAAATTTTCAGGCAAATCAGGGACTATGAAGAGAACACTGAAATAAAGCAGCCGTGACACACTTGTCAAAACCTGCTTCGACCGGAACTTTTGCAGCAAGCTTCACCACTCTGCACCGGCGCACGCACATAAAGCTTTGTCGCCTTGCACCAGCATCTCGGAATAGCAGCCGACGCGGAGGAACAACTCAATCAGCTCGGCGAGCTCGGAAGTTTGTAAGGGTGGGCGCTTGACACGCGTGTCCTTTGCCTACATTGTAAACCTTTTAAAGGGAGTGGGCACCTGCTGCGATATGAGTGCATGCCCGGTGTTTTACTGCAGGTGGTAATTTTTGATGCCGGCCATTAATTCTTTTCAATGTAAAACGTGAAAAAGCTGCAATGTTGCAATTGCACCAACAGCGTTGCAAAGTGTATGACACCTCTTAACTCTGCACAATTCTGAGTAATTGTTTTAATAGGAAGCCTTAAACAAATTGTTTTAATGCCAAGATAGTTAAATGTGCCTCATTCTTGCAACTATAGTCCATTGCAACTCAAGAAAGTACGCGGAGGGTAAGACGGGCTGGGGAGGAGGAAGCAGACGGAACGCTGGAGAAGTGAGGGGGAAACCTCCTTCTCTCTTTAGCTTTCCATCTGCTTCCTCCTCCCCAGCCCGTCTTACCCTCGCCCTACCTTCTCGAGTTGCAACGGACTATATATGTCTGTCCTTCCATGACGATTCTTTGCGACGAGGACACACTTAAAAACCGGCCCACTTCCATTTTTCTATATAGCATGCAATTTCTCAAAAATCCTCTCGGTTCAAACCCACGAGCACATTGTCACAGACAGTACGACAACGGCAAGGCATGTCTTTCAAATGCTCCGCCTCCAGCACGCACTCCGTGCCTTCCGCCGTTCCTTGGCCGTTCTCGCGTGCTCAAGGCACGAGAGGCGCCGAAGCCTCGTCAAAGGTAGCAAGCTCGTGCTGGTGGCGGGACAATACTGAAGTTTCCCCTTGCTGCTCCCGCCTTGTCGGAGACTACAGTACAGAAATTCCTCCCCACAACTGCGAACAAGCTCCTTACCAGGGTCTCTCCTGTAGATTGCAATTTCGCCACTTGACAACGATATGAACACGCGGTTGTCCAGATATCTGAAAAAAACAAGCGATCCGTTACTTACGGCCTTCTGCATCGAGCGCCGGTGCAAACTCACATGATGCAATGGACTGCCGCTGAATGCTGGACCTTCATTTTGTTCTTCTTTATCCTGATATTATCGTTGCAGTTGTATACGTGTATGCTGAAAGTAAAAATAAATAGGTGACGAGCGTAGCCTCTGGGAAAAGGTCATGACACGTGCCTCTCACGGTTCAAAGCACGACACCAACTGCGATGTGAAAATCTTCACTCGCAACATGATGCACAGGTTGCACCCAAGTCGAGCGGCACTCAATCTCGTAAGGTTTCACCAAATTCGTATAACTTTGAACCGAGTGAGCCTTTATGTGTACTATGGGATTGAACTATATACTGTAAAACCCTTTATTTTCGGGGCCCCTATTTTTCGCGAATCGGTCACAGATGACATAATCGCGACCACTAAATTTCGCAAATTCCAGACGCCTGCATTGAAAATCTTAAGGACCGAAATTTTCGCACGCCCTTAAATTTCGCGAATTCTTCAATTCGTGAAATTCGCGAAAATTGAGGGCTCACGAACATTAAGGGTTTTACAGTAGTATATAATTTGGCTTTTCTAGAGAGGTGTATGCACCTTCCAACTCGCAATAACTAGCTCGCTCCGACACATTTTCAATGAGGCATCTGCTTCCCGAGTCCCGTCAGAACCAATCTGTTTGCCACCCTAGGCGGTGCTTAGGTTACGTCTGCTCCGTTCCTAAATATAGTCAGGGTTTAATTGTGAAAATCTTACTGCAATGTAGATATCACCATTCGCAAAGTTTCGGTTCCTTTTTAAATACACCAGGTGCATGCGTGCACCATTCCATTTTGAAAGTGTACCTTTCTCCTAAGCACGCGACTGTGATACTATTCATACTTTTTTTAAGTGTTCATTGCGGCAGGTTAGCCCCGGTCAGCGCACTTCTTACCGAGCGCTAGTGTGCAGCGAAGCAACACCTGCGGAAGCGAGTCCCGTGGGTGTTGCTTTTCCACAGTGCACCGGTGCTATGTAACAAACACACTAAAAAAAGCTAACCCGCCTCAATCAGCACTTTAAAAAAAAACAGTTGACCCTTTGCGGTACTAGTGTAGCAAAGGCAGTGAACGTGATGTGTTAGTGTGGAGAAACTGTGTACACACGTGGAAACTGGATGGTGCAAACGGTAGCGCGCATAATTTATTAAATTAGAATACAAACAGTGGTAAAGTAGCATGCAGCACTTAAGTGGCGGCCGCTCACTGTTCACCCTGTGTTGCAGAATGTTCGGGGTGGCGACATCTCATCACATCGCGAAGAATAGTTAGAAAAGAACCACCATTATTCTTTCTATGGGGAAAATCACAGCACGCTCATTTCACAGAGCGGGGTGCCACTGTGTGTCGTAACATGTGATGTTTCCCCCCTGCCGAGAGTAACACAGATTCACTCAAGGAAGACGTTCGGCTGGCACTGGTCTCCAATCAGTGAGGAGACACGCAGTGCATCAGCGTTCGGCTGGCAGTTGGCTTATCAACTCCTGTTCCTGGTTGAGGAACGGAAGTTGATAGGCACCAGTCAAATAACACATTCTGTGATAATACGAATATTGCGGTCCATCTCGAAGTAAATATTGAATAGCGTATTATTCGACACTACTATTCAAAAATTCGAATATTCGGACAATCCTACTCACCAGCCGTCCTCTGTACCCAGCCACATAGTGGGGAAGTGATTGTCCATCTCTTCAACCTCTTCTTTTGGCACTTTGGGAGTCTCCTGAGAAGCAGTGAGACGTTCGTCGTCTGCAAAAAAGCATCCATCCATGTACGACCAGTTTCTCTGTTTTCCAAACCATGCTGATGTTGGCTGCACAAACTGAGACTCAAGTAACATTGCAAAATAAAAAGGACAACTGCAGAAGGCGGAAGAATGCACTGACAAGCGACTCTTCCGTTCAATTCTTGCTATTTTATGCAGTTCTTCAAGCCTCGTGAATTCTGTACCCTGAGTTCCCACTTGGTGGAAAGAACTAAAAGTTTTCAGCAGCACTTTTCCTAAGAGCTTTTCAGTTTCAAGGTCATTCATTTGAAAGGAAGCAGTCACCTTGCGATTCACTGTGATCTTCACTTTCTTCCTCCTCCTCATCACTAGAGTCACTGAAACAGACAAAAGGTGAATTCAACCACAGTGAATGGAGCGAAAACTCGTGCTGCAGAACCTAGGGATCCTGGGTTCGATCCCCCCCTTTGCCTGTTTCGATCTGGATGAGCATCGTACCGGCATGCGGTCATGCATCACCACTGCAAGATGCATGTTAAAGACCCCAGGCTAGCAGTCGTGCTGTACTGGCTATATTTCTCATCGTTTAAAGCTGGTAAAAATGTTGCTATATTCTGGCAGACTAAACTCCCGCTGTCTACACAGCTAATGGCTAGTTCGTTTTTTTTTCTTCCACAGTGAACAAATAACTAAGCAGGGTGTCTAGGAAATTATTATTTTGGAATTCTCTGACTTTTCCAGGTTTTCCATGACAATTTCAGGTGAAATTTCCTGACCACTGTAGAGGCCGTTAAATGTATAAGACCATTACAGCACAAGGCATTGAGCATGGAGCACTGCGAGGATCATTTTGCACGGGCTTAATCCAACTTGCATATTCCGAAATATTCGGGTTCGTCCAGTACGGATTAAACAAGCACTTTCTTGCTTCAGACATCGTCAATGAAGAGGCCACTTCCAGAAACACGATGAAAACACGACGTTCAACCACACGTCAATAACCGAATGGCAGCATGGCCACACGGCCGCCACATACACACTTTCGGATACCTTTGACTTAAGGCTTGGATTGGATTGGTGTCTGCGGCTTTCCCATTTGTTACTAAATCTAGTAGCTCTAACTGGATCTAGCCTAGTGTCACGCTCTCAATCCAATCCAATCAAATCCAATCCAAGGCTTGGACTGGATTTGTCGGCTGTTCTCTTTGCATCGGGTAGACAACTGCATCAATCGGGTGAGCAGAACCTACATTCCGCTCTAAGCAGAATTTTTGCCTATTTTTCTGCCCCCAAGTCCTCAAGTCTTTGCTCAGGGCACTGGACGGCGTTTCCGGCCCATTTTCCCTGACTGGGTTCGCTTTTTGACAATATCCCTGACAATTCCATGATTTTTCCCAGTAATTAAAATTTCCCTGACAATTCCCGGTTTTCCCGGTCGCTAGACACCCTGCTAAGACGTCTCAATGTTCTTAGGGTGGTGCCAACCTTCGTAGTACCTGGTGCCGACAGCGCACATTCCCAAGAAAAATACAAATGAATAGTGTGAATCAAGATGGCAGCAAAGCATTAGAACCCTCATTTGCATGTTCTAGGGCAGCGAAGACAAAGGAGTGCATATCACAAAATAGCCCCCTCTCACCAACCACCTCAGACAGATGTGAACACTTTGAGGCAGGAAAGTGAGAAGTGTCTACTTCAATACAAGTCAAGAACAGGCTCCCCCAGGAGTTCCATCACAATAACCGTGGCAGACGACATCTCACCTGTCAAGCTGAATATTGCCATTGTTCGACTGTGTCTGCTGTCCGGCGTCTGGTTCCTTGTCCTCTGTATCTGTGCTGACCAGCACATTTGAGTCAGGTACTATGGATTTCCGACGTCCCAGTGACATCATGCTGCAAGCAATGCAAAAGCCAAAGTCCATATAACGTCAAAGTCATGTAGTATGACACGCACATCTTGTACATGACGTCTTGGACATGATGTCATCACACCATGCTGGCAGATTCCTACTTACACTTGCCAAGAACAAATTCGATAATGCGCAAGGTATGCTTGTAGAATGTACACGCTCAGGAGAGCGACCGCATTGACGGCGGATGTGACGTCAATGCAAGCTATGTATGCCACTTGAATCACATAGCTTTTGAATTGCAACTGACTATATTTGTCAGGCTACGTAAAATTATAAGGAACAGTGGAAGGGATCACATGGGGCCCTAATGTACGTGGCGGGACCAAGGGACGTGGATATCACCACCTGCTGCGACTGGTCCGCGCCGCACTGCCGACCAATTGGAGCAGGCGGTGGTGTCTTGGTCCTTTGGTTCTGCCATGCAGATTAGGGCACCTGGATACTGACAAAGAGAGCTGACAGTCCTCAAACTTTGTGCATTTCAGACTGTCTTAATTTTGCTTCTGCTTTGCATTAGACCGCGCTAAAGGTAATGAGCATTAGTGCTTACCAAAAAAATCCTGCATGAACACCCTCCCCCGAGAGATCACCCATCTCTATTTTCTGGCTGAATACATAGAGCACAAAAATTCCAAACGATTGTCCACCCCCCGATTATTTTCAATATCACGCAATGGCCAACAGTAATCACATCAACCGTGCAATCTTTGGTAGCGGTATGTGTGACAAGCGGGTTTCTAGTGGGTCATTTCCACTTGTTTATCGTACTGTGACACACAAATCTGCTGCACCCCAATATCCGTTTCAGTGAATTGCGAGTTTGTAGCAGTTTCCCGCATCTTCACTGCACTGTGAAATGCAAATCTGTTGCATCCACAATCAGCAGTATCTGTCCCATGACACAGGAGTTCATAGCGAATTCCCACGCATTTATCGTATGGTGGAACGCAAATTTGCCGTGTCCGTGATCTGCGGTATCAATTCCTGTATCACATGGTTTGTAGCGAGTACCGCAGTGCTTATTTTCACTAATATTTGCTAAAATTTTGCTGTTGCATCCTTATAGATTGCCTCCCCCATATTTTTCACCATTACTTTCTTCATTTTGGGTGGGCGTTCTCACGTGATTTACGGTACTTTTGGGAAGATTCCTGAGCCCCATACCACATCCTCGAAAGCTGCAACCCCAAGCTCATGATCTGTGCTAAGCACCATCTCAGAGAGCATGACACATGCATGCCACTCATGGCCATTAGCTTCGAGACCTTGTAATAGTTTAATTTTTGCAGCTCTAACTTTGAAGCCTCTGTTAGAACAATGCTACTCAACCCTTTGCCTAGTGTCCACCATGAGCACTCCCAACAGCCTGAGCATGGCCCCCCTGATCTGCTATAAACTGAATTATGAAGCTCAAATGCTAGATGACGCAACACCAAACAATAAGGAATATCGAGAACCCAAAATAATGCTAGCAGTGCATAACATCGTAGTGGCAAAAGGCGGTATTGCATTTGAGCGGGCTAACTTTAATCTGCATAAGCATTACCACACAAATATGACAACTTAAGCGAAATGCAACACGAGAATGACCACAACTGCAGAAGGTCATGCTCTGTTTGTGTAAAGCTATGAATTTCTTTTCGAAGCCTCCTCTCCTTTGTGTGCTGCTTCTCTCTGTTGGTACGTACTAACTTAAAACTATTTTGACTGTCACTAAAATATAGGAAGAAATACCTCCGAGATGGTTCAAAACATTTTGATGCAACTCGAGAATAAGGACTACAAAAGTTGACACCAAGTGAAGAGGTGAAGAACATCTTTTGAAACATTCACCTTCTCTTTTCTTGGTGTCAACTCTCATAATCCTCAGCCTTGGGTTGCTCCAAAATGCTCAGTATACACTAGCTCACTTGTGCTCTTACATTCTGTTGGTTCAAAACCTTCCAACCAGGAAGAAGAAAGCACAAGTTGCTTTTTTCTGTCTCAGCTTTGCTCGAGCTACTGCTTGTTCCATATTTTTTGGCAAATTTCCCCTTGAGAGCCTTCAACAGATGTTCCACCACATAGGGCAACGTCTGCGGTCCACAGGGACGTTGCACCAAGCGGCCATCAAGAAACATTTACAGGGATCGTAGACATCTTGTGTACAATTTCACTCCACTTGAATTATCTCCAATGCTAAAGGTTGAGAATTATTATGCACCAGACTGTGGAAGTGGGTGCATCAGGTTAGCGCGATCGAGTGCACTTCAGTGGTCAGAGTGCACTCGAGCTAAACTAAACAACATTGTCCCATTTCTTGTGCACGGTGGCGGGGTGCACTCCGCGAGCTCTGTCGTTGGAGATGGTTCGCGAGAGCTCAAATGGGTCAGTTTCCGGTAAGATGAAGATGTTTCTGCTCTCGCAAACAGTCTCGCAGTGGTCTCGCGTTCTATTCTCGCACCTGCTTTGATATGTGGATACTTCAACGGCGATCGCTTGGCAGCTTGTGTTGTTGGATAAAACAATGATTTATTTTTCAAAATCTATGACAGGTGGCAGTATAAATATTTGTACTATGCAATAATAGATGGCGACACCTGTCAAGCTCACATATGGCTTTTGAAAAAAATGAGAAACGGCTAATTAGCACAAAAATACTAGCACATGGCCTTTGAGACGTTGCAAGCTTCTTTTTCTTTTGTTTAAAAGTCAGTGCCATAGTGCCTAAGGTGACGTGGACGTCTTGTAGCACGTCTTGGGTGATTCACTTCGGCTGGCAGGGGCGGTGTTTCCTCTTGCGTGGTGAATACTTCTGAAACCAGGTTCAGCTGTGGTCGGTCTTCGAAGGGCTTCAAGGTCTGGACGTGGACGATCTTGTCTTCTGTACTGTCGATTTTTTGGATGCGGTAGCACACTGTATCAACTGGGCGGATGACTTCTAATGGACCTTTAAAGGGCAGTGTTAGTTTGTGATCACTGGCGTGCAGCCAGCCGTAGAATGTCAAGTCTCCAAGATTGAACTTGTGGTCACTGCGATGTAGGAGGTTCATGGTAGAATCGGTTCGTGCAGCGTGCAAAATGTCGGGTTGATCCTCGCGGGAGTCACTGGATGTTATAGTTCCGATGTGAAGTTCCCTTGGGAGGTAAGGCTGATACCCATGCAAAAGAAAAAAATGGAGAGTATCCTGTGGAGCTTTGCTCTGCAGTTTTGAATGCCAATAATGCACTGGGCAAGTACTGGTCCCTTGTATGCAGGTTCCTGAAAACGAGTTTCTTCAGCGTGCTCACCAAGGTTGCATTGGCCCTTTCAACAAGTCCGTGTGCTTGTGGGGTGTATGGAGGCGTGAGATGGTGCTCGATGCCATACTTTTTGAAGAACTGCTTTGTTGTGTGGCTGGCAAATGCAGGTCCCATTGTCGGAAATATACACACATGGCAGTCCAAAAAGTTTATTGATATTTTGTTCAATGGTTTCGGTGACATCTGCTGCCGACAACGAACATGTGGCTCCTGCCAGAAGGTAGCGAGTAGCATGATCAATATGTACAAACAAATGGGTGTTTCCGGCCTCCGTTTGGGGCAGTGAGACAACATGATAGCCTGAGACGCATTGAAATGGCATTGAGGGAATCGGAAGGGCCCCCAGTTTTTCATTGGCGAATGTGGTTTGACGGCTTGTTTGTTGACATATACTTCACAGCCAAGAATGTACGCTCTGACGTCTTTGCATTGTGTTGACCACCAGTACCTCGAGCATACTCATTCGAGCGTTTTCTCACTCTTTAGATGGCCGCTCTCATCATGACAAAGGCGGAGTACTGTGGAGCACAATGCAAAGGGAAGGACGAGTTGTTCTCTCGTGTGGCCTCCAATTCTTGTCATGTGAGTTAGCACTGAGTTTGACAACTTTAAGGAGTTACAACTTGATTCAGATGATGCGTGTCAGACTGTTTCTGTAGCTTGTCAACTTGGCGGCAGTACTCCTTGGTCTGCTGAGTGCGAACAAGCTTTGAATCTTGTGATGTCAGCACGGCGAGAGATGCTTGGTCAGGGAGAGGGTAGCGGGACAAATGGTCAGCAATGACATTTTCCTTGTCAAGCCTGTGAAGGGCAGTGAAGTCGAAGACTGCCAGGTCTTTGATGTAGCGGGCAAACTTGTGGTTCAGCTTGGCTTTGTTCACTATGTACGCCACTGTGAAATTGTCAGTGACGAGCAGAAAGTTATGACCATGCAGATACAGACAGAACTTTTCGGCCACAGCCCAATGTACAGCAGCGCATTCAAGCTCATTGATGTGGTACCTCTTTTCTGCGTCTTTGAGAAATCTGCTGGCATATTCGATGACACATCTTTTGCCGTTCTGGTCTTGCGAGAGGAAGGCTCCAAGACCTTCATGTGAAGCATCCGTCTCAACATATACGTCTGACACTCTTGCTTGAAGAAGGACAGGACTGGTGGCAAAGTGATCTTCATCATGAGTGACTCGAAGGATTCCTGCTTACTATTGTCGAGGACAAGCTGAAGTGCTTGAGTGGGCATTTCATTGTTCCTTTCTTTGCTCATGGTCTTCTTCAGAAGTTCAGCAAGCGGTCATGCAATCACTGCCCGAAGTTCCCTATATATTCGCGCAACGTGTTTGCAAATCCAAGGAAGCTGCGAACCTCATGTATAGACATCAGTGTAGCATATTGAGATACAGGAGATGTGCAATCAGGGTCTGGCTGTGTGCCTCCTGTTGTCAAAGCTCTTCCGAGGAGTGTGTGGTTGGCAAGGCGAAGACACACTTGGTCGGTGAGAGCGCGAAACCCATGCTTCGTGTGGCTTCTAAACTCTTGTGCGAGCAAAGAATGTTGTCAATGTAGGAGACAACACCCAGTTTGCGAAGGTGCGAATATGCCAATTTGATGGCTCTTGTCATGGTAGGCAGTCCGTTCTTAAGCCCAAAAGTCATTCATAGAAACTCTTTGTAGTGCATGGTCTTGGGTGACAAAGGCTGT